CAGGATTAGAAATGGTCTTCTCAACTGCAATGATTGTTACATCAGATCCAGAAGTAAGTATTTTAAGTTTATTGTTTAGTTGTTCTTATTCCACAATGAATCCTAGCTTCAATCTTGCTACAATTTAGTTTCTTTTTTGGAAGCAACTTATATCTTTACTAATTTTGTATCTGTTCATATACTGCATAACAATATCAAGCTGTGGTACCCATCATTTGTCATCAAAACCCCCAATACCAAGTCATTTTGATCCTCATGAAAAGGAGTTCAGGAAATGAGGAGGAAATCCTCATGAAAAGGAATTCAGAAATGTCACTCTTTAATTTTCGGAAGAATTTATTTCCAGCAGTAGGATCTCTGAGCAGTCCCAGGCTTGCCATCCTTTTCAATGCCAACATGCATGCTGTCTGCATGGATTAGGAACGAAGGACTGGAAGAGGCCTTCTGACCATTAAGTCCAGTCCCCTTTATTTACAAGTGACCACTGACCCAAGAATTCCCCAAAATTGCCACTTCAAATCCTCACACAATATCCAAAATCCCAACAACACCCTACAGCTCACTTTACATAGAAGCAATGCTCTGCCACTTCAGTGACAAGTAAGTAGTTGTTAACATATAATAATACCCAGGCATGGCTTTCTCTCTTGTCCATTGGGGAATGTAGGTATTGCTTAGTGCTCAATCTGGACGTAATTCAGATTTTGTTGCCAAGTAAGTATGCATGAGATTTGTAGCAAAGATGATTTAAGCTGATATTTGTAAATATTTTTGCAATCATAAGGGCCAGAGAAACACTGGCACAAGCTACTGAGGGATATTGTGGGATCTCCTTCATTGGAGTTTAAGCGCAGGTGATAGAATATCCCTTGCTGACTCCTGGCCTACATTATCTTCAGTGTTTAAGTAGCAAGGGGGTCCCTTTAAAAGAGCTTAGTGCAGCTCACTTCCAGTCTAGCGCACACTGCCACCGCTGCAGCCACAGCCACCAGCCCCCCACACAGTGTCATGACTACCTCTGAAACACTGAAAGAGCCCCCCTAGCTCCATGGGCTAGATTCCTGACGCAGGCGTAGTTGCTGGCCCCTGACGCAGGCGTAGTTGCTGGCCCCTGACGCAGGCGTAGTTGATGTTGCCAGAGGGTTGGACTAGATGTTCTCACAGGGTCCCTTCCAGACTTGTGTTTCCAAAACTTCTTTCAAATTCAAATTTTTCTGCTGTAGAATTGTAACCCTTTTCTTTGCTTTCTCATCTCCCAGCATATGACAAGAGATATACTAGCACATACACCTCAGTACTTCTCTCTGTGACAGCATGGGACACAGAGAACAGCATAGAATACCTGTCTGCCTAGTCATGGGGGTTGGGGTTGGACTAGATGGCCTATGGAGGTCCCTTTCAGCCCTGCTTCTCTACTTCCCTCTGATCTGCAACACTAAATACTACCAGGAATATTCTGAACATGCTTGCAATTGATTGGACTAAATACAAGATTCTCTTCCTTTATTAACTATTTTCCACTCTCTTCCTCAAAAATCTCTGGCTTTAGTAATAGGAAATAAAAGCTCTGGCCCACTACTTGCAAAATATATACTCTAATTACTGAGCTTAGAAAAACTTCCATACTATTGGAGACAGAGGGCACTATTGGACAACCTCTCATTCATCTGCGCAAATGCTTTTACTTCTGTTGAGAAACTTCTTAGCAGCTGTGTTCTTTTATATCAAACCAAGCAAAATTAACAGATTTAAAAATAACTCTACATATCTGTCAGCTTGAACCTGCAAACCCTTACTTGTTTGGGTGAAGATATAGCCCTAAATTTATATATCTCTTAATACATAAAAATCAGAAGAGAAAAATACAAGTGAGATTCCCCAGCATGCCTTTTCCTCAATATTTTTTAAAATTATGTTTTGGAGAGTGAGGATTTGAGCTCCCACAATTAAAGAAGAGGGCATAGTTGAATATTTGTTGTCATTATGTGATGCAGCAGTTCTTTTTTACTGTAGTGATAGTGCCAGAAAATAGGGGATAGACCTGCCTATCATAGTGATATCATTTGTTCCCCTGGGATTTACATTTCTATCTTTTCACTCTGCGGTCATATTTTCCTGCATTTGTAGACCACCTAACAAAGTAGGATCCAGGTCCCTAATGGGGGCCCCTAGCTGCTCTGATAATACACCATAAAATGATGGAGTTTTGTGGATTGCCTGCAAACATTTGTGTTTAGGGGGGAGTTGCTGTTTTGTCTGTTCTTTTCATGTAATCTTTGAAATACTACTTTCGTTCTGCATAAGTTCCAGAAATAGAAAAATATTTAAAATAAATAGTTAAAGGGGGGAGGTTGATTTTTTTATTTTTTTATTTCCCTGAACTGGTGATGTATTTAACCTGTTGCATGGCTGTGTGTTTAGCTTTTTGTGAGGTGGGTTGTGTTTAACTGAAATTGCAAGGGCAGTTTCTGAGGGGGTGCAATATTAGTACTCTTAACAGTCACTTCTGGAGGCACAGAGCATGTCTACATGTGCAAATGTTCCTGGGTCAGTTTATTCTAGAGTAAGTTACTCTAGCGTAAACTGATGACCTGGACAAACATCTACAAGTGCAGGGATGTGGGAGCAGATTTGCTGTTTGTGGCAGCAATCTACTCCTGCCCCCACTGGCTCTGCACCAGCCCCTGCACCAGCCAGGGGGAGCTGTAGGCTCCTTCTGGGTGCTAGCTCAGGAGTTGGCCAGGAGTAGGGGGCCAGGAGGCAGCTGTCTTCTCAGGGGCTGGGACATTGCTTCCTGCCTCCAGGACCTGCCTGCTGCCAGTGCGGGCTCTCCCACTGGAACCAGGGCAGGGGCAATGTCTCCCTGCCCCAGCAGGAGGGAGTTCCAAGCCTTGCTCCATGATGGCAATCACAAGAAATCTTTATCTCTCAGCTCAAGCTGTGCAGTCATGGAGCTAGGGCTGGGAGATCCTTAGCTCCCAGCCCGTGCTCTGTGGTTGTGGGCCGAGCCTGAGAGATCCTTGTATTTTACAGGTTGCAAATTTACTCACGATTAGAGCACATCACTGTACAGTAAGCATATGCATGTGTAGACAGTGATGCTTACTGCTCAGTAATTTGCTCTAATCTCACGTAAAGTGTTTTGTGTAGACACGCCAACGAATCCCAATTGATCACTCATGAAAAAAAATACTTGATCAGTTTTTTCCTTCCCACCCACTCCATTTGTCCACATCCTAAAACCCACCTGGTTTTGCCTGACTAAGTTATCCTGAGTCAAAGGCTGAATTAAACAGCCGTATTGCAGGTAAGGCTTATGGCTACTGTTGAAAAGCATCTGTGTGAGAGGTGTTTATCTAAAATTTTAAATTATTTTCTTTCTTGTCAAATATATGAACATAATGAAACAAATGAAACAAATACCTAGATGAGAAATACTTCAAAAAACAAATAAATAAGTTAGCCTGTGAAGGCAGCTAAGTATCAGGGTATTTTTAAAATAAAAACAACAGTTTACAGATACAGGAACGAAACAATGTATAAATTACCAGAAACACAAATTATTCTGCTCCATGACATTACTGGTTTAGATGCAACACTGACAAACAAGTCAAAGGTGAAGCAGGTAACTCTCCTTGAACTTGTGTATTTCCTGCCTCGGGGAGGACTGTTTCTGATCAGTGTGTAGTATTCTGTATGATCTATGCTGCTTATGCCCTTAATAGCTTTTGCTTTATTATTCTACCAGAGCATTGCCTTTACCATGATTTTGTGTGCAAATTAAATGAAAGTGAATGCCAAATAGTTCAGTAATGTAATCTTTCAGGCACGAGGGATATATTTTTCTACGTCTGTATTGTACCTTTTATTTCTGTTAGTGCCAAACTTACATCCTCACATAGATATAGTGCCAGGGGCATTACACATGTAAAATTCCTTGCTATGGTGACTTGGAATGTAGAAGGAATATGAAGACAATGCTGTCTATTGTGTTTCAGAAGTAACAAGTGCTCGAGTGTGTCACCCTTCTAACTATTAACGTTTTTATTTCTAACCTAGCTGCTGGGCAGCCAACAACATTGTGACATGAATTTAAGTCCTAAAAACTTCCTTCAAGAAGAAACTTTCCCAACATGTCCCAGGGGCTGCCTCCAGACAATCACTTGTAAGAACTCATATCCATGGACTTCACGGTTCTCATCTTATTTCAAAAAGCTCATAGAAAAGGCTGTATGCATAACTTTAAAGCACGATTATTTCCCCCTTTATTATTGAATTTACATAATATGTATGAAGGAGATACTTGGTCATTCAGAGCCTAAATACTATTTTTTAAAAGTTTTCGTGTTTTCAGAAATGTTAATGATTTAAAATCTGTTATTTTGCTCTTTTGAAAGTAATAAGAAAGTGAAGATGCAATAAACCTATTTTGTTTTAATATTTCTAGGAATTAAACATGTAAGTTTACAGAACCTTTACAGACATTCTAGCATATGCCAACTTGAGATGAGAAATCATTTTAAGATAGCATCTAATTAGTACATTTGAAAAACAACATCACAGCAAGTGACTTTCTGTTATTATTGAAACTTTTTTTTTTTTTTACAAAGACACTAGTTTGATAATACATTCTGTAATTCTGAAACATTTTGTGTTATATTACCTTCAATGGAGGGGTAGGAGTTATACAAATAAATTATTGCACCTTTAGTTGTAGGGTTTTTTGTTTGTGTATTGCAAGTAATGTTCATTACAGAAGCTTAGTATTTTATCACATAAAGGTTGGAGACTATCATTAAGCTTGGCGACTATATATCATTAACAATTGGAGGTTCCCAGTGGTGTAAGAAACTGTACAGAACTTGTACTGAATAATATGGTACTACCCAATTCCAGAGGTGGGACCTGTGGGCACAAATGGATGAAACTGACTTGCTGTATCAACAAGAACTGGGTTGGTGGTTGATGTCTTGGCTTCCCTGTTCTATTGGCTTGTAATTTTCTCATTGCCAGTAGAGTTGTCATAACTTTGTAAATCTTATGAGTCTTATACTCTAAAGAGATTTCACATGACAAAAGTATATATACACATTCAGGCACCTTGGTTTGGGTCCCATCAAGAATCATCTTTAGAAGTTGAACAGTGGCAAATTAGTGCAGCTTAGTGAAGACCCTGAATTTGCCTTCCATGCCCACCCAGCTCTTATTCAAGTCAGCAGGAATTGTGAGTGCACAAGGAATGGAAGACAAGGTTCAGTGTACGCCACTTTGCAAAAAAAAAAAATGTTTAAGTACATTTGGATCTGTAGCACTGTTAAACATTCTTTTGCTAGTGTATACCAACGCCTTCCTGAAAAAGTAGTCAGAACTATGTGTAGGTATCAGGAATGTACCCTAAATTTTAGAAGAAATATTACACTTGTAAAATATTACAATGCTGGTTTACTGAATGCACTACGTGGTTAATTCAGCAGCCTAATACAGAAAACAGTTATTTGAACATATCACATTATTTTAACAGCTCATGCTGCAAGTTAAAATTAAAACCCCCCTATTTATTCTGCCTTAAAACAATGATAAACTAAATTAATAGAGAGTCCTTATTGTTTGTGATAGAATATATACACATCCTTTGTCTTTGGTGTGTTAGTAAAAGGAAGTAAAATGGTTATTAGATAAGCAATAATTTTCTTTTGTTATATAGCTAGCAGATATTTATTTAAATGCTAGACAGTTCCTTGCATGCAAGTTGCGTGCTCGTGCAAAAATGCTTTGTCATTGAAAATCTTTATATAATGTTGTCATTTTAAGACATTGTGGCTATCTAGTAGAAAGTTACACATGATTTCATTAAAATTGTGCCTTAGAAAATGCAAAGCTGTTGCACAGTCAGTGGTGACTTATGGATGCAATAAATCCAAAAAGATGAAGTCATTCCCAAGCCCAAAGCTCACATGACTTCACATTAGGGTTATTTTTAAAAAAAAAATCAAAAATAAAAAAAATTTGGAAATACACAATAAAGTCCAACATTTTGATTAGCCATTTGCATGATTTACTGTCAAATGTTTTGATAACCTGTATGTTTACACTTGGCATGTCATAATATTTTACTGCAAATAATTCAGACTAAGAGTATTCAGATGACAGGTTTTTATAAAGTACTTTGTACATCTATTTGACTCCATCTATCACATTAAGGATATATGAATATATAGTATCTTCTGGGTTTAATTGTTAAAATGTGACCTGCATTTCTGCATGCTTGTGTGTGTGTGTGTATTTGATATCAGTCATTTACACTTATGCACACTTGTGATTTTAAATGTAGATATGTAAAGCAATCACAAGAGTGCACAAGTTTTGGTTGTCATAGAGGTCTCATCTGCTTCTGATGAAGTCAGTGGTTTAAACCCTCAGTGATATTAGCAGGAGCATGACTAGAGCCAAAAAAGCATGTGCAAGTGGAATTTTTATGTGCAGTTTCAGATGCACAAGTGGATCTCTGAGGCCCATTGAAAGTTTGGCCCAGTCTGTCTTTCAGTAGTTTCATATATGCATATTTTAGTGAACCTAATTGTAGGTGCAGCAAATCAAATCAGCATTCTCAAACTACAACACATTTTTCCATGCTGAACAACTAGTCACCAGCGCAGATTGATCCTCAACATTTTCTAAATTCTAATTGCCAATTGTTTCTATTTCTATTTCATCTGGAGTCTATTATGTGACAGGTTCAGTCAGGCTAAAGCTTAGCTTTTGTCCAGTTCAAACATAGTAAGTATATTATATTTCTTGTCATTATCTTTGCAGTTGCAGGAAAAAATGCTTTATTCCATTGAGCTATAATGTAAATGTGTTTGTTTAAAAAAATTGATTTATTGTTGCTAAGCAAGTACAATGTATGTAATGTTTTAGATGTTCCAAAAACATACTTACTTTCTTGTTGCTTCAGAGAACATGGCTAACTGATGTAACCATTTTGTATCTTTCGCTACTAAACTTCCTGGTGTTTTTCTTTACTCTTGCTAGGTAGTGTTGTAATGCAGAACATACCATAGTAATGATAAATGACATAAAGGTTGGTAATCCAAAAAGGGGTCCATCTTCTATCTGAGTCCATTCAGGGACAAGAATTACTGTTCTGCTTGGGCTAATGTTGAATACAAATTACACTAATCTTCAGTTACAATATTTATTCTAAAATGCCTCTGGAAATTAGGAAAAATTGCTTAAAATGCAACAGCTTTTATAGTAAATGTATGTTTATAAATAAAACCTTGAATAAATTTGGGTCTGTGTTGATTTTGCTTGTTATAATTAACTTCTATTATTCTTTGCCCTATCTGCTGAATTGTATAGCAAGTTCAATATATCTTGCTAGCAAAAGTCCCTGTCATGCGGGGGCGTGCACTGCACTGAGCTAAACCATGCAAACAAAAGTACTGAGCATCTGAGATGGCTGTCTGCAGGCAGCCTTCTGAAATCTGGTTATTACCAGATAGATAATTAAACATTGTAAAGAGCATGCTGAATGTCTGGCTACAAATGGGCAGAACATTCCCAATACCAAGCCCACTGAATATAATCCATTTTCTTCAGTGTGTTTTGGATCACGTCCTGACTCAAGAAAGCACTGAAATTCCTGCCTAACTTTAAGCACATGGATAATCCCATCCTTTCAGGATATCCTTTAAAGTTACACATATGTTCTGGGGTCCTAAAGATCAAGAGGCAAGTTTCTGCTTTGTTTTGTTTATTTCTTTGGTGATATATTTTATTAGTCCAATACAAGGTACCACAAAAACAACCTTGTTTCTTATACATTTCCTGGACCATTGTGGCTCTAACAACACTTCAGTCCTAAAGAACATCTAGCTACAACTTTAACTGGCAAAAGACAGATACATTTTAAAGCAGTAATTTATTATGATATTCAGTAACTGACATCCCTCCTTATGAGCCAGCATAGAACAAATGCTTCTGCAGAGTATTATAGGACACTGTACTTTGGATGACTGCTGACCAATTAAGAAATATGGTAGTTTTTTTAATTAAGTTTATTATGTTGGAAGCCACATCACATTCAGTCTTCACTGTAATTACAGTGGTATAACATTATATTTCATTGAGGCTGAAAAACTGTATGATCAATGCAGCTTTGCTCTGCAAGCAGGTGTTTTGGAGTGCGGAGGAAGGAGATGCAGAGCAATTGCAATTGCAGGTCCTGCACGCTGGAGGCCACTGTGCTGCTGAAATTGAAAGCAGCTGCATAAGCCTACTGCCCCTCCTCAAATGCTCTAAGCACCAAAACCCTGGATTGCAGAGAGGAAGAGAGACAGAGGTTATCACAGCGTCTGGCCAACAGTACTTCCGTTTACCTACTAGAGGGCTCTGTTGGTATTTTTTCCCACTGTAGGTGTTCAGTAGTTCTGGGTCTTTTTCCTCATAAGAATTTTGGGGAGTTTTAAACTTTCACAGGATTATGTAGAGTGGTACATAAAACTAGTCATTTTAGTCTGCAGTCAGGCAGAAGGCAGGACAGAGTGGCACCTTAGGCCATTTTAGATGTGCTCACCATTTTTAAACTGCATTAACTGATTCGCATCACACAGTTCAAATCAAATTTCAATGCAAATTAAGGCTTAATAGATGATTGAGAGGGTTTGTCCCTTTCTTCACAGACCAGTAGCCCCTGTGCTTGGGCAGAGCTGGGGGCTTATTCAGGAGTGGACACTGATACCTAGTCACAGGTGAGGTGTTGTTTGGACATTTGACTTTGTAGAGGTGTTACTTTGTGCCTTATAGCCTCTTTTGTGTTGAAAATGCTTATGTGCATTGCTAAGGAATGCTTATCTGAGCTCCTATGGACTGTTTTTCCTAAAAAGAGCACCATATATATGTGTTCATTAATACAGTTTCAATTACCTAATTCAGACTGCCATAGTCTGCATTAACTTTAATCATGATTCATGAGCTTTAGTTCAAGCACCCTTACCACCATTTTTAAGTGCAGGGACACTGATATACGAGACGTGGCAGCGTTTTAATTAAAGCACCAACCCTTCCATTCCGTCCACCCCCAAAGCACATGTAAAAGTGCGTTAGACTAACTCATTCCCTAAAGTGCCCCCCTACCCTGCCTTCTGTCTTGCATCATTGTGGTGATATTTTTTGCTTCATTCATGCACAGTCCAGCCTCCTGGAGGGGCCTCTGTGTGCTGTGTGAGCCTCCGAGGATATAGGCATGACCCATGCCAGCAACATGGTCTGCTCCATGCATCGCTGTGGAAGAGTATGGACCATAAACACCACCCACACTAAGGGAAACAGTACATGGGGGAAAAAAATCTTATTATGGTTTAACGACTATTCCCTTGTTAAACAAGGTGTTTTCTTTGTGTTTGGTTACTGTGCATCTGGGTTTTCCCAGATATGTTCTCTTTTGTGGACCCCTGTGCTGCATCCAGGTGTTTTTTTTAAATAAGAGCAAACGTCTGGGTTTTCTGCCCCCCCCCCTCCCCCCAGGCTAGCTGCTTTGGGCTGGGAGCAGTGGGCAAGGTGATTGGCTGTTGGGGTTCATGTGCTACCTGTGCTCCAGCAAACCAGGGGGAGAGAGAGAGAGAGCATGCAATGCAGGAACTGCTTGGGCAGCAGAACTGTGGGGAGCAGGGGTCTGCAGTTCGGGACTGAGGGGCACCAGCAGGGCTGGGGGGCAGGGGCTGGGGGTCTAGAGTGCAGACAGTGGCAGCACTGGGGGGGCAGGGACTGCAGGTCGGGAGTGAGGGACACTGGCAGGGCTGGGGGCACAGGGGGCTACGGGTCTGGAGGGGCACTGGCAAGAGCCACAGGCAGGGAGTGAGGGGCACTGCCATGTTTGGGAGGGGTCAGGAGGCTGTGGGTCGAGAGTGAGGGGCACCAGCAAGGGGTGGACAGCAGGGTACTGCTGTTTGTGAGTGAGGGGCACTGGCAGGGCTAGGGTCAGTGGGTCTGGAGTGAGGGGCAGCAGTAGGGCTGAGGGGGGGCATGGCTTGCCAGTGAGGGGCAAGAGAATGGGCAGGGCACCAGCATGTCA